TAATAATATTTTTATTAAAAGCTTTAACTATAATAATAAAACCTACCCTTGTTTCCCCGAAAATAAGAACAGATCTTATATTAATTTTTGCTCCAAAAGATGCATTTGGGCTTATTTTCCGGTTAGGTCTTATTTTCAGGGAAATACGGTACTAAATGCATCTGTCTGGCTGACGATTTTAACTGGGGCTTATTTTTGGGGTAGGACTTATATTGGGAGCATCCTGAAAAAACCCATGCTAAGGCTTATTTTCCAGTTGGCTCTTATTTTTGGGAACAGAAGCTAATTAACACAAGCTAAAAAAGAAAAATAGATTAAAATGTCAAGAAAGGAAGAAAGAAAACCTAAGAAAGCGGCTGCCACCTTTATCATGACAAGTATACCTAGTTTCACTGCCTCTTCACCTCCCCTTAGTTAACAGATATAAACCTGTTCTTTAGGATTTCTCACCAGGCTGTCTATTGCTGCTTTTTTAGAATTTCTGTCTACAGTGATCTTTTCACTCCTTTTAGGAGCTTCTGAGCATGAACCCTGGCACCCTGGCTTGATATATCTGACCGAGGGTTCCGTTTTTTAACCTATAGGTTGGCTAGGTATTCCTACATATCTCACGAAGACACAGCGGTTGACTTTCCAGCACTATGACTTGCAAAGGACTTAATGAACAATGATTAAAGAATTAGGACAAGAAACATTTTAAAAAATCCCTTCTCCATGGAAAAAATTAAGAACGAGATGAACAAGGCTTTATCATTTCTTTTCATTAGGGCATATTCTAAGGATTTAGTTAACATCAAAACCAGGTAATAGCTGATTTTGTGAGGATTTCAGAGGTAGTAACATTCTGCAACCAACTATTATTTACCAGTAAGCAATATTATGTATACAAAATTGAAATTACTTGAATTTAAACAAGTATTAAACATGGATCATTCCAACAGCAAAAACAATTAAAACAAATGTCATACACAAATAATAACCGTCCATTACTTTGTTGCAGAAATTTTGTTCTTTTGCAGAATCCAGTTTTCTACTGATATCCTCATTAGCAGCAGTCTGAGGTCTAATTTGCTCCATATGGTTTGTAGCAGATGGTTTTGGAGAGGATGTACATGGTCTGAAAATGAAATTCAATTACATTAAAATAATTGGATTAAAAAGTGGATCATAAATATATTAATAGGAAATACAAACATCCCTTTATTTCTGGGGAGCCACAGACTGCTTTACAATGTTGATAATTGAGCTCTAGCAGTGAGACCAGAGGGTGATCTGCAAACTTCGGTTCACAAAATATTTATTATCATCCTGAATTCAATGCGACTTATCCAAATCAGCAATTTCACTTTCATATTTTCACAATGCTAAGTGAACTAACTGGAATTATTATGTTCTTAGTATTCACTAATCAGGGAGGTGGCATTTGATGGTCTTGAAATCACTATTTTCTGTAGGATGGAAAAAAGCTTTTTATTCCATGGCAGAAATGAAGCCAGGAGTCACCGCAGGCCAATTAGCAGCACAGGCCCCGCTTTTGCAAAGTTTTAAAGGAAATTATCTGGTGATGATGCAGACTTTGCTCTCCAACGTAGCTGCTTTATTTCAAGCACACTGTCCCATTCTGAACTTTCAGAGAAGGCCTGCAAAAGGATCCCCCAGGCAGGAAGTAAAAACCTCATTTCACTTACCCCACATCTTCCAATTCAGCTTGGTCTCCTGTTTCAGCAGCATCATGAACCGGACGCCCTTCAGCGGCTTCACCGATCGCCTTGTCTATCTGCTGAAGGACTCCATGCTCCAAGACCTCTTGGTCGTAGACCTCGACTCCCAGCAGGCCTCTGAGCTCAAATGCTCGGTCCTTGGGGGCCACGGACCGAATCTGCTGCCGGTCGATTAGCAGCGTGGGCCCCTTTCGGAGGGTCCCCAAAGAAGCCTCCGCTGATGGTGCTTTGTTCTCCAAGACCCGCCCCTCCCCGTGGTCCCCCACATATTCACGGGGCATCCAATCATCCCCTGGCTTATTCGCTTCATCTGCTTGGCCATTACTTGCACTGCTGCTGCTGCTGCTGGCCTCAAATTTCTCGCCTTGAAGGTTTCCTTCTGGCTGAAGCTTCTGGGCAGGCATCCTCTGTTCAAACACAAAAGGAAAAAGCCATTTTGGACACTGAATTTTAGGATTTTGCATTTCAAGCAGAAGCTCCAATTTTGAATTTTCATGGAACAAGCCAAAAATCAGATGATACACTTACGCACTTCAAAACCTAATCTAATCTCCAATTATATTCAACAGCCAGTCTTGGCATATACCACTGTTCTGCAACCTTAAACAACAACACACTATCATCTGCTCTCACAGAATTGCTATGATAACTTAATATTTTGTATATTAAGGTGCATGAGTTTATTTGTACATCTAGGGATTATGGGAAATTTTATGTAAAGGACAAAACTCATCAATTTAATTTTATTTTTAAATAATTAAGAATATATCATGATACACAATTAACTCCAGAAACATTACTTTCATAGGAGCAAATGGAGCTGTCTATTCCTGCTCTAGTTGGTTCAAGCAACAGATGAATTTCAGATGCTAGGCCCAGAATGAGGATCTGCTGATGTTGTTACCAACGTAAAGTATAGGCCAAATATACACAAAACGACTAAAGTTTTAATGTGGGAAACAAGCTCTCCATATTTGTTATTTCCACGTTTTGCCTATAAAGAATGGATGCACAGAAAGGATAACCAGTCACAAGGTGCCTCTTATTAAAGACTGTTCTTTAAAAAAAGAAAGAGCATCACCCTTCAAAGTGAGCATTTATTTAGGAACATCTCCGGGATACAATAACACATCCCCCCCCCCTCCGCCTTCTGCAACCTCAGCAGTCACAGAAGAGCCCCTTGGTCCTTTCGGGCCCCCCTCCCCCCCCCCGCCCTTAAAAGCCTGGGCTGCAAAAGCAGCTGATTTTTGCCCCGCAGGAGAGGCTCTGCCTCCTTGGGCAAGTCTGCACAGGTCCCTTGGCGGCAGGCAAGATGGCACCGGGAGCCTCCCTGAGCTCCTTCTCTTCCTCCGCCTCCTCCTCCCCTTAAAGAGGGTGAGATTTTTATCCCACCTTGCCTTAGTTCTACTCTAGGCTGCCCAATAGAGCTTTTAAAAACTAGCCTGAGCTGAAAGGCCCCACTGCGGGAGGAGGAGGAGGAGGAGGAGGAGGAGGCTTCTTCTTCTCAGGCAGGCTGCACCTTCGATAGCTGAGCAGGTTGTTACTGCTCAGCTCAAGGAGGCCCCGCACAGGCAGCCCTGCGGGGGGCGAGGCGGGCTGGCCTGAGACCGGCTTCCTAGGGGCGCCTGCCCTCCTCCTCTTCCTCCCGATCTCAGCCGCGGGGCCAGGCGGGGGCTGCCGGGAGAGGGTAGCCCTGCCTGAGCGGCCGCCACTCGGACACCGAAGCGGGAGGCGAGCTTCGAAGATCGAGGCGGCCGAGAAAGCGGCACCTACTGAGAGGCGGAGAAGCCCCGGGACGGAGCGAAGGGGAACCCGGGGAAGGGTGCTCCCGAAGGCCGCTCCGCTCGGAAGGAGGCCGCGGGAGGAGGAGGAGGAGGAGGAGGCGAGGCCGCCGGCAGCCTCCCTCAGCCACCCCGGGGCTGCTTTCAACCTGCCGCGGCCCCCCAGCAGACCTCTGCGCATGCGCCCCTCGGCTCCCCGACTTCCGGCGGGCCCGCCGCTCCGGCCACGGGACGCTCAGGGCGCCTGCGCGAAGGCCGCCCTCTTCCGGTCTGTGGGTGGACCGTTGGCTGGGACTGGGCGGCTCTCAGAGGGGCGGGCTTGAAGGCCCGGGATGCTGGGAGTTGAAGTCCACCCGTCTTAAAGTTGTCAAGCTGGAGGAACACCAGCAACATTAGAGTTTATTACTTTATTAGCTTTTTATCCCAGCTCTATTATTTTTATAGATAACATACATGACACTCCTTCCTCCTCCTACTGATACGAATGGACAGAGTACACACGTTTTAGTACAGGAGAGGCGCCTGGGTCTCTGGGGGCGTCTGGAAAGCCCCCCCCCCGGAGAAGGAGCTGCGGGGCAGTGGAAAGACAGGGCCAGCCCCCCCCCCCCGAAGCTGGGGAAAGAAGCCCCCCTCTACTGTGGGAGGAAAGCCGTGGGGCCTCCTGTCCAAAGGAAAGAACTGGAGCTCACGCCTGGCTCCTGGCTTTCCAGGACGGGTGGATGGGCATTCACCCTTTGCTGACCCCCACATATTAGGGGGGAAATTGCATATACTGGGGGAAAGGTCAAGGAAGGGGCCCATAAGCTAAAACAAGATAAACGTTCCTCCTGCTATGGAAGATGGGATCAGCTCCAAAACACTGATGAGCAGAAATAGAGAGAGAAGTGGTCGGGTAATGAGATGACTCAAAACTGTCTGTAAAGGTTGTGCAGAAATATGGATGTGAGGCTCAGATCCTTGTACAGTAGATCTCTGGATTTACGTGATCAGAATCAAGTCATGAAGATCTATCGTATCAGCTATGATTTTGGAAAAAGCCATGCAAAATTTAGAAATAGCTCAACCTTCATGTTTAACAAAGACTTTCATGGATTAGACATAGACACAATTTTCAACTGTATAATAATTTTAATGAAGAGGAAAATTAACTTAAACTGGATGCAATATGTTACCCATAGTGTGGCCAATATGGAATGGAGAGTTACCCCACACCTAGCGACTGTTTCTAAGCTATTTTTGCCACATGTCTAGAACTGTTCCAGAAAAGCGACAAAGCCACATTTAAGGTAGCCTGAAGAAAGCATTGGATGGCCAATGTGGTGAACTGAGATTTCTGCAGGTTAGTGTATCCTCCTGCCACAGCCTCTCTTGGCTCTAGTGGCCGGCCAGCAGGTGCTCTGTGCTTTTTCAATGTCTCTGAATCCATGGTCAGCTCCAGAGACTCAACAGGTAAAGAGTTTGATTATTCTTGCTACTTTCTCAGGCCACAAGCACCTGGGGTTCTGCTGCCAGATTGCGGTGGGCTGGCTGGAGCATAAGGGAGAAGATGAATGCCATGGATGGTCTTCATGACAGCAAAGACCTGGCAGGTACAAGACAAGGTCAAGTTTGGGGGGGGGGGGGGGGACCATTATTTTACTGCCAATGAACACAGCAGATCTAGAGAACTTTGCTTGGGGTTAGGGAGTGCTTGCGGCAGCCTAAAATGGCCAGTGAGAGCTGGGTGAATCTCAGTCCTAGAAAGTGTCATCAGCTACCTTCTCGGTGAAGCATCTTAGATCATATTTGTGGCCAGAGCTATACTGGGAGAAGAGAGAGAACACTCCTTGATGGGCTGGAGTAGCCAACAGCTGCAGCTTTGTTGGGCTGGGGAATGAAATAAAGGCAACGCCTTGAAGACCGGCCCTTTAAGAATGGTTAGCAGGGGATGTTCATGTGAGGGAGAAGATGAGGTCGCACCTGTCCATTGTTTTAAGACTGGACAGAAGAGGTGGGCCAGCACAGCCTTGTTTTACCCAAGGGTGTAGAGCAGAGTATAATGGAAGCAGGCTTTTACCTTGACCATTCTGACTATTGTATTCAGTGTAGTAGGAAATACTTCTGTAGGGAGAAACCAAGCCCAGGTTGCTTTCCTGAAACAGTTAAACGAAATTTGCAGTGGGGGGGCTGCTGGCAGGATTTCTGAGCTGGGGCTTATGGAACCCTGCAGATCTCTGCATTATTACAGTAGATTTTTGCTTAGAGAAAGGAAGATTTCTCAAGGTGCTTTTTAAGACTTCCTGATTTGTGCTGGCAAGTTGTTAATCAGTCTGTGGCAGCATAAATAAAATTAAAGAGTTTAATTAAAACTAATGAATGAGCGAACAGAGAATAGATAGCATGTTTCACTGTCAGAATCCTGATGTTCTCAATAATTAAAGTGTCAAAGAATAGGAGATGGCTTGAAAATGTCAGAAATATAGAAGAAAGAAAAGTTTTAAAAAACAGGCCTGCCATTTCAGAACAGCTTGAGAGTTTATGTAAGCCCGGTAAATATAAAATCCCATTGAGGGTTTCCAGACAAGCCACATTCCTTCCAATGTATTCTAGTGTAATTCTTTTGTTCTTCTTTGTCTATTAATTTTCTTAATTTCCACCTGGAGATGTTTTTTTTTTTGGGTCACCAAATGTTATATGTTATAGATGTTATACTTTGCATAAGTATAACAGAGCTCCGAGTCTGGGGACCTGATGGCACACCTAGGATTTAGGACGGTGTCATGGATGCTCTCAAGCATAACTGGGGGAAACGATGTAGCCCATGGATGGACAATCATAGAGCAAGGCTGAAGGTTGCCATTACTGATGAAGCCAGCCACGGGTTCCACCCCAACATCCTCCAACCAACGTCTTTAACAGGCTGTAAATTATTAGAGGTCTTTGAAGTTTGGCGATACACAAATACAATAAACGCAGTGGGTCACTGAGTTATAATGAAAGCAAGACAAGGGACTTCTAATCACATACAGGTAGTCCTTGACTTACGACCACAATTGAGCCCAAAATTTGTTGCTAAGAGAGACATTTATTAAGTGAGTTTTGCCCCATTTGTTAAGTGAATCACTACAGTTGTTAAATTAGTGACATGGTTGTTAATTGAATCTGGCTTCCCCATTGATTTTGCATGTCAGAAGGTCACAAACCCCAGGATCGCATGACCCTGGGACGGTCATAAATGTGAGTCAGTTGCCAAGCATCCGAATTTGGATCACGTGACCATTGGGATGCTGCAACAGGCATAAGGGTGAAAAATGGACATAAGTCACTTTTTTCAATGTTGTAGCTTCAAACGGTCACTAAGCGAACTGTTTTAAGTGGAGGACTACCTGTAATACAGAGTTAAGATGAGATCAGTATCACGCTCCTGCCTGCCTGCCAGCCAGCCCTGGTCTACCGTAACCCACCCCTCAGACACAAACATTTTATTTATAGCACAAACATATTTTATTAGTGGTAGAAACAGAAACCTCAGCAACTACAGATGCAGGAGCCATTTAAGTGCTTTGTGGTGAAGAAATTCCCTGCACGACAGGTACAGGCAAACACAAACTGATACTTTCTACACAAATGGTTATAAATAAAAGCCAAAATTTTGTCAAACTGATTGTGTAAACGTAACATATAGGCCCCTTGGTATCATTTGAAGGAAATTAATGTGGGAGGCCGAAGAGATAGCGTCTGCAGTATGCAATGCTCAGGAGAGCTCCTGTGATTTTGTTCTACTGCAGCAGAAATAAATGCTCTTGCAAAACCTTAAGGGGGGAAATGAGACGTATACGTAAGTAAGATTAATCTGTAAAGCTGATGTCTGTCATGAGTCAACTTTTACAGTACGTTGCAGCAGGTTGGATTTGTCCAACTGCCTAGCCAGCATACTCCTTCCTGTCTTCGGTCTTGGCGAACATCTAAATATTTAAGAACTGCAAAGTAAATCGAAACGAAGGAAGTATTATTTTGGCCTTTGACCACAACTAAATGAGGAAATAATAAGGGAGGTAGTTTCCTTGATTATCCTTACGTTACTGGAATTCCGTAAAGACCTGAAGGACAACCTAACACCACTGCTTAGTATTTCACTAAACCAGCACAAATTCATCACCCCTTTCAGATGACCCCAAAGGATATGGGTTAGAGTTCTGCTGCAATCTTGAGGTAAACCTAACAGGAAAAAGTAGTAGTTCACGAATATGAATTCCAGGTGTTAGAGGCTTACTATAAACCTCTTAATTACAGCCCTGATCAACTCTGAAGGTAAATCTGCATCAAGTAATGGAGAAGGAGGTGTAAGACAGGTAAAAACACGAGCCACAACATTAAACACTTGGCTGTCAACATCCAGCAGGAACAGAACACGATTCTCAGAAACTGTTTGGCTAACGCTCACTGAGGGTCCCAACCAGCAATGAAATCAAATGACATTTCCTCATGATTCGTTCACTAACATTTTACATACATCCTACTGCTGACAAAAGAAACCCACCATACTACTTCAAGTATTAATTAATTTAGATTATTTTTGACCCACCCACTAGCCAAAGGAATAAACTGTTGGGAACACAGTGACAGCAGATGTTCCTCCAGAATAGATATCAATCAACTCACCTGAAAAAAAGTAGTATTTCCATGCAGATTCAGACTGCCCTCTCCTCTCCTCAACTACATATTGGAGGGGAATGCAGGGATATGCATTGGTGCCACCAAGAGCCTTGGTGGCACAGCTGACTAAGCACTGTTATTAACACCAGCTGCCTGCAATTACTGCAAGATCAAATTTCACCAGGCTCAAGGTTGACTCAGCCTTCCATCCTTTCGAGGTAGGTAAAATGAGGACCCGGATTGTGGGGGCAATAAGTTGACTTTATATAAAAAAAAAGGAACACCACTTGGGGGGGGGCGAAAGCCCTACTAAGCAGGTATATACAAAAGTATGAAGGCTATTGCTTAACACATTGTAAGCCGCCCTGAGTCTCCGGAGAAGGGCGGCATATAAATTGAACCAATAAATAAATAAATAAAATATACGTATCCAACCCCCATTTTGTACATGGCACTGATCCATTTCCCAGTAGCCACCAAGGATCCAAGATCATGGGACTGCCGAGTTTCTCCTCTGACCCTGCCCTGCTCTTGGCCTACTCTTAGGGGCACTTTCTTGCTCCAGCTGCTGTTCAGGCAGATCGAAGGGTCTGAGTCAAGGCCTGGAAGGAGTGCGGCCTGCCCACACCAGCCTAAAATAACCCAGAGGTCCTAAGATGACACAACACACAACCTAATGGTTGCTGAAGTACATAAAGTATTACCCAAACCAAGACCCCCCTTCTTGTTTCCTGCTTAAGGGGGAATTCTTTTAGCACGGGAACTGCTAGAGATAAACTTTAGGGGAATTGGGGATGAGATGAAGGCAACGTCATGAGGACACGGCTGGGAAAAAAGAGGTCCACTTATGTTCTGGTGAGGGGCACATGTGGAATAAAGCTCCAGGAATAAAGAGTTTCATTCTGCCTGGCAACACCAAGTTCTTCAGATGGTTTATGCAGATGTAAAGGCTGATATCTCAGGAGTGATATATCTCTTAGCACATGCATCCCTTCTCTAATGATATTTGCAGATGAAGACAAAATTCTTCAGGGGAAATTCTTTCCATTTCTTTTCTCCTTCAGCCATAACTCAGTGTGGTTTCCTAGGAAACAAAGAAAGAAAGTAAAATTATTAAATTTGTTGGAACAAACCCAAATAATTAAAACAAAACTGACACAGAATGGTTTCAGTCCATTATGTGTATCCTTTTTAGTTCCTTCACACATCTCCAAAAAGCTAATTTACCATTCCCTTTCTTCAATGGGGGGCTGCTGAGTGGATGGGCGGAGGAGTCACCAGCCTTATGGTCTTGGGGGGCCCCTATCTGCTGCCCTGGTCTCACCAAGTGACTCGACAATTGGCAGGTTCAAATAAACCGCAAGCATTCTGGAGATGTTTAATCTTCCTAACTTCCCTTTTAACCCCCTCTAATTAGCCCCCCTCTTTCTGAAATCCACAAGGTAATCCTAGGCCTTTTTACATAAAAGAAAGATCCCTCTCTGTTTAGTAAGTGCAGAGGATGGTACCGATAAGACAGAGGGAGACGGAGATAGAGAGAAAGAGAAATGCAAACGGCAGGGGTGAAATCTACTTACCTTCCTTACCGGTTTGGAAGTGCACCTGCCACGTGCGTGCGCTCACTTCACTCACGTGCACCAGGAAGTAATGACACCTAGGCGGGAGGGCGGAGCTTTGCTCCGCCATTGCTACCGGATCGCCCGATCCAGTGCGAACCAGGAGGATTTTACCCCTGGCAAACGGCTATAATGTTGCTCAAGTATAAATCTATTTCGCAGGGATGCAAGAGAATAGAAATTTCAAATAACCTAGCAAATGAGTGGAGATATATCTGAAATTAGTAGCACCACATCAATAAAAATTCAGTATTTTATGTTACAGGAATATGTAAACAATCGTGTGATTGCTTATATACTTTTTTTAAAAAAAATGTATTACATATGTTTTAATCATATGGTTGTCATTATTTGCAGCCTGAAGTGGCACACCTGAAGATGTACAAGTTCGGTCAGGATCGGCTGTAAGTGTTAATTAGATGAAGATTTCCAGGCGGTTTGTTTGTTTTCACTGTGATTGTTCGTACCAGGAATTCCGCTTCTAAGTTGCATTTAACTTCAAGGGATATGATATGGTCATTTCCCCACGCGCCCTCTTTGAGCATCAACATTCAACCAATGTTGTGCCAAAATATCAATAATGAGGACAAGCTTCATAGAATTTCGGTGAAGGCTGGGCCATGCTATGAAGATGTAGCATCTTCTCAGTACTTGGAAAACAGCCTACGAGAATCCCCATCTCCCTTCTGGGGACACGGGAAGAGCAAGCAGAGCATAGAACATAGAACAACGGAGTTGGAAGTGGGGGTCTTCTAGTCCAGCCCCCTGCTCAGGAAGGAGACCCCATACCGTTCCAGAAAAGTGGTTGTCCAGGCAGATGTGGGAAGAAAGGGGTCAGCAGCAGCAGGGTTAAACTCAGTGTGCAGGTAATTTCCAAGGTAGTTTCAGGTTATCAGATTCAATGTCTCAGGTAACATTCACAAACACCCTTTTCTATAGAATTTGAACCTGAGCGCTAGCCTTAAGTCCTACGTAATTATGTATAAGTGCACCACAGATGTTTACCACTAGATGGAGGTCTCCTCTCAGTTGTAAACTGCATCCCTGAACAAGCACAGGTTATTGTAACTTTGAAGTAAATGATTTATGAAAACCTTTCTAATCCAAGTAGATTTCTGAATAATCTGCTAATTTCATATTCCAGAGGCGGAAGGACAGAAAAGAGAATCTAGATTTGATTCTCACGAGTAGGGAAGAACTGGTGGAGCAGCAGACTAAAGCACTGTTATTAACACCAGCTGCCTGCAATTACTGGGAGTTCAAATCTCACCAGGCTCAAGGTTGACTCAGCCTTCCATCCTTTCTAAGGTAGGTAAAATGAGGACCCGGATTGTGGGGGCAATAAGCTGACTTTGTATAAATATACAAAAGTATGAAGGCTATTGCTTAACGCATTGTAAGCCGCCCTGAGTCTCCGGAGAAGGGCGGCATATAAATCAAATAAAATAAAATAAATCAAATAAAAAATAAATAAATAAATAACTGGTTGGTGCTGTAGAAAAAAGTGGAGGGACTATGCTGCCTTGAGCTTCCTATGAAACAGAGTATATGTGGATACATAGAAAAAGTCTAGATGTGTAAGAAATAGAGTTAGACACACTCTGGAGTCCTAAAAGGTAATTTTTTTTAAATAAAAACTTATCAAGAAAAGATTGGAGCTCCATGAGTCCAGGCTGTTATAAGATCTCCTGTCTTGGGCAAGGGGCTGGACTAGAAGACCTCCAAGATCCTTCCGGCCCTAGGATTCTGGAACTCTAATTTTGCCAAGGACAGGCTTCCCTGTTGCAAAGGGATTAAAACTCGCCCTTCCCCTTCCACGTCTTTCTTCTTTTTGAACTAGAGGGAGGGAGGGGGGGATCCACTTCGCTTGGTTCTGAATCAGCACAGTCAGAGAAGGGGTGTGTGTTTTACCCATCATGTCTGTTCAGTTTTCATAGAAACAGAGAAAACTGACAGCAGAAAAAGACCCGAGTGGCCCACTGAATCTGCCCTTTGGTTTTTTTCTTGTTTTTGTTTGTATTTTCTGTTTAATTTTTTTTTTTTTTTTTTTGTCACCTCTTGCATTGCAGTAGACAGCAGGACAAAACCCCCAAACATCTAGAGATATGGTGCCTTGAAAGCTTGGTGCTGAATATTTGGGATGATAGTTGAATAGCTGGGAGAGTGAAAATTAATTAGCTTATTATTAGCGTTTCCTGTTGCACAGCTGACTGGGTGGAGTTGACTAATTAATTCAAGTGGACGTTTTGGGGGTTAAAATTCAATCTGCTGGGTGAGTGACTGGGCTACTTGGCTCCACTTTTGTTATTGTTCTCACAACCCCCGGACTCCTGCCCAGGTTCTGGTTCAGAGCATCCCAGGAAGAAGGTTACCGGATCATGTTCCATTAGCAGAAATAGAATGCCAGACAAAGTGCAGGAAGCTTGGGAGCTTTTCTGAAAACAAGGGACAATTTCAAAAAACACAACACGGAAGAAAAGCAGACGGAATTAACAAACCCCAGGATGGTGAGCTGCATAAAGAATTCAGATTTAAGACTTATGTAGAAAAGCACCCGTGGTGTTCATAGCTCCTAGCCTTTTAAACTATTGTTAATGCTTTTATTATTTTTACAATATTTTATTATTGCAATTGTAACTGTTTTTACGATCTGTTTCTAATTTACACTGCCCAGAGCCACATGTATGAGATGGGCAGCTATATAGATATGACGAATGAATAAATAGAATAACAGAATCCTGAATGCCTGCCCAGGATTCTCTCTGACTCATATTAGTTCTAAACAAAATCAAGGAGAAAGTCTTAAATTTGAGTGTTGGAGTTACTTTGCTCACCTTTTCTGAAGGAGCCTTGGTTCTTCTGAGCAGAGGAGCTGGCCCCGTGTGAGCGCCCTTAAACACATTTTCCTGAAATGTGTTTCCGCTCTGGACTTCTTTCTGGGGTTCCAGAAGCTGGGAGGCAGCAGCTTGTCCCAAATTTTCTCAGAAGGTAGAATCTGAGTCATGCATCAGACTGGAATTCTCCTCCAAAGAATGACTGACCCATTATTTTTAGCAAATGTTTTATTTAAGACAAAATTAAGCTGGTTATCATTTGGCACGTCCCAGAATCTAAGTACCAAAGAATTTCCTCTTTGCTCCTGCTAGGGTGAGATACACAGCTGAGCTGTTCCAGATGGACATTTTTTTAATGATGGAAATTACAGTATATTTGCTCTAAGTATTTCAGATAGGAAATACAAAGGGTTCCCCCCACCCATTTTCTAACATTAAGTTACAAAGTAATACATTCTAACCAGAGATGGGTTTCAGCAGGTTCTGACCAGTTCTGGAGAACCGGTAGTGGAAATTTTGAGTAGTTCGGAGAACCGGTAGTAAAAACTCTGACTGGCCCCGCCCCCATCTATTCTCTGCCTCCCGAGTCCCAGCTGATCAGGAGGAAATGGGGATTTTGCAGTAACCTTCCCCTGCCACGCCCACCAAGCCACACCCACCAAACCATGCCACGCCCACCAAGCCACGCCCACAGAACCGGTAGTAAAAAAAATTGAAACCTACCACTGATTTTAACTAACATTCTTGTTTTCTGCAACTCACTAAGTCCAAGTTTTCATGTAAAGCAGTAACCTAAGGAGTGAATTTAATGGATTCTCAATACATCCATGCCAATCAGAATCTATGCCCCTTGGGCCAAGATATTACAGAATAAGAGGAGGACTTGGAAGGGACCTTGGAGGTCTTCTGGTTCAACCCCCCGCATAAGTAAGACTGAGTCTATTGTCCCAAAGGTGCTTTTCCACAAGGGAGCTGGACTTTCTTGGTTTTTTCCTTTGAAAATATTTCACTTCTCACCCGCAGAAGCTTCTTCAGTTCATGAGTGATGGGGATGAGGACAGATGGGCTTTGTAATTGTGAGGGAAGGCAAGCTCCCCTTAGAAAAAAGGATTGCAAAACTTTCTCTTTCCTCAAAAGCCTGTACATTTGGAACATGGAATGTAAATGTAATGTAACGTTATGTAAATGTCATGTTTTAGTTTTAGACAGTTTTATTGCTTCATAGCTCTCATGGACCAACAAAGCAGCAATGGCAGCCTTGGGGTTATAATTGTAGCGGAAAGAATATATTAATTGACGACTAAATACAAGAAGTTTAAAAGTCCACAAAGGAACAAGTAACTTGCCTCTTTTTATCTCTGTTTTAAGGTTATTTGGCATCCTTTACGCAGGTAGCCCAGAACGGTGTTGGAAAGCCTGGCGCTCGGAATGGCGGTACAGAGGCTGGTGTTCCACCAGGCAGTTGTGGGGGGGCAGCGGAGAGGGCAGGATTGAGGGGTGAAACGGATCGAAGCATCTTCAGGGGATACCTAGGCTGAATTAAGATTTAAAACCACAGCTCGGCCTAGTATCGCAGGAGTTTGTCTTGGGATGCTAAATATAGTCTGACGGTGATGTCTCCCTGACTAATGCGTTCAATCTGGGATTTTCATTTTGAGGTCTTCATTCTTCCAATTTTTGGCTGCTTTCTCATTTCCCCCCTCCCTTCCTTTTTCTGTCTCACCCAATAAAGAGCTCCAGAGTGTGTCAAAGCTTGCACTACACTTTTAACCAGCTTGTGTGGAACTAGTTAAAATATTCTCAGATAACAGAATCAGGATTATCTCACACCGCTGGGCAACGGTGATACTCCAAGGATTAAAGCCCTCCATTATTGACTGATTTACAGGCCTCCCTCTGCTAAAGCCGAATGAAGCCAGCAGGTATCTCAGCCCAGCTGTGACCTAGAACCTTCTCACCTTTTACCCAAGAGCTGAATAAATTATTGTAATATCTGTTTCATTGCACTAAACTGCCTTTGAGACATTGCAATACTGTAAGTAAAAAATAGTAAATAAAGCAAATAAGTAAAAATACATTGAAATAATAAATCTGACCACTGGTTTAAACAGTCGCCCTCATCAGACCCAACTTAGAATTCAGGAAACCTCTTAGTAATGGCTTATGACCGCAGACACCAGGGAGCCCAGCGCGATCTCTACCCCAGGGACTTCACCTTGTATAAACCTCACCACCCCAGGCTGGTGGGTGGATTCTGGGAGCTGAAGTCCACAAACATTAAAGTTTCTGGGATTGAGAAACACTGATCTGTATAATATCCTAAATCCTTTTAGGCTCACCAGGGGATCCAAGGGCTGCCTTTATAAGGGGGGGTGGGGGGCAGGGTGCACACATGCATGTGTGCGTGTGTGCATGTGTGTGTGTGCATGTGTGTGAATTTGACAATTATTTCCCATCCTGGATTTCTGGAATATAGCCTTGTTCTGTCCTTTAATTCCACCTGATCCTCAAGAAAACGCAGGAACACTCTGAAATCATTCTAAAGGTACAAGGAATTTCATCTTTTCATTTGTTCCATTTGGGGGCAAAAATAGATCCCAATATTTTTAAATCCTGTAACTGTAACAGCTCTTCACATTATATCCTGTCATGCTTAGCACAAGGGAGCCACAGCCCTTGGATGACACAGAAGTCTAATTTATAAGAGGAAGACGCTGAATTGTGTTAAAGGGTCACAGAAGAATTCCTTCACGGTAGAGTTCTTCTATCCCGTTTCTCCATCTTTGGGCTCTTTAATGCTTGCTTTGTTTGGGCTGACTCTCACTTTTGGCTGTTATTTTATGTGATTGTAATTATTTAGGTTTTGGGTTGTTGTTTTTTAAAGAGAAAAGGGATTGTTAGCTGGTCCTGCCTCTCCACTCTCGGTTGCACAATGTAAATGCCTTGAGTCTCTATGTGAGGTTTCCAGCCTTCCTAACAGCTCTTTGGTGGGTCACAAAAGAAACATCTGAAATTCATAACATGAAATTAATAGCATGTGTTTCACTAAGGCAACTGCTGACCTTTCCCTTACTTTATCCTGCCCAAATTTAAGTCTTAAAAATGTTTTCTTCACAATACAACTTTAGAGGAGAGAAAAACTGAAATCTGAGGAGCAGCGCTGATTCTTACAGTAACCAGTCTGCATGGTAACCAAGGAAGCTTTAAAATTAAGGGAGAGTAGGGGAAAGCAATAAGATTCTTCATTAATCTAAGCGTGAAAAGTATCTGTGAGCTAATGGAGTTCTGACACGTGCAAACAGCAAATATGTAATTGCTATTTTATCAGCTGCACACTGTTGAAAGTTAAGTTTTTATCCTGTGGACCAATGTCCACTGAGCGGAAGGTGTATTTGATAAGGTATCTTAATGTCACATTATGAATATGTAGAAAATATTTGCTACCAATAAAGGAGAATATTTGTAGTGCAGGGTTGGTGCTCTCTGAGCTTGTTTGTTTTCTTGCAGACGTTTCATTACCCTAACTAGGTAACATCATCAGTGCTAGAAGGAGTGCTGTTTGCTGGCAGTTTATATTCTGGTGTCTTGCCTGTCTGGGGGGAGGGTGTGTGTGTGGGGGGTCTTAGGGATTCTTTGGTTGGGCTGTTTAATGATGGGTTCTTTGGCAGTTTCTTGATTGGGGAACTGCTTACTGGATTGTTAGTCTTTTTGCTTCTGGCTCTGATACAGTTTTGGATTTGGTATGAAATGCCTGCCATTATGTGAGAAAGTACGGTATCCTGAAAAAACAAAACCTCTGCATTTCAGAGCTAGCTAACATGGAAGACTCAAGAATAAAACCAGAAAGATTCACCTGCCTATTTCTCTACTGCTATCTGCTTAACGAATTACATAAATCTATAATAGCTCTATCTAGTGGCTAAAACAACCGTCTCTTACAGACTTGCTCTTACAGAATCATAGAGTTGGAAGGGGCCCAGGAGGTCTTCTAGTCCAACCCCCTGCTCAAGCAGGAGCCCTTATGCCAATCTGGACAAACGGCTGTCTTGAATGTTCCTTAGTGATCCCACTTATACAAACCATCAGGATTTGGAAAAGAGGGTTGTTTTTTTTTTTAATCAATGAAAAAAGAAATCACTTGAAGCCGTTTGAATAATGGGGCAACCGCACCAAAAGGGTGATTAGCTCTAAGTTTGCACTGACAGCTAAACGAAAGAACTTCCTAGAGGAGGGAGCCTCCATTCTCCAGCTCATAAATGAGCCTGAAG